TTCGAAAAAATATTCAAAAACGAGTGTCGCGTCTCCGCGGGACGAGTGTCGATTCTACGCGGGACAAGGGTCGCTTCTCCGTGGGACCATGATCGTTTCTTCGTGGGACGATGGTCGTTTTGGCGCGAGGCGGGGTGCGGGGTGCGGCGGGGGGAGAGACCACTCCCAAGCGCACCGTTTGGCAGCAGCGGAGGTTGAGGTCCTGTCGGCCTTTTTCTGGGCTAGCCAGTATTTTGTAATCCGACAAGCCCGCTCCAACGGCTCGCCAACATGCACCCTGCCCTGCAATCAATAAATAACAAATCATAAACGGCACAACGGACTCCGACTTCCGACGAACCCCCATTTACACGAACGCATGCTCATTTTCACTCGCCACGATTTTGCCTTACGAAAGGCGTTTCAACCTTCCTTTTCGATTTCGAAGGCTTTCTATGTTCAGTTTTCTAGGGGGGAGCTCTGTAGCGCCCAAAAAGATAACTCTTGTCTTTCATGTACAATTTACTTGTTGACCGATTGTACATTACTCCTTGTTTTAATCTTACAACCGGCTCATCACACAACTGCCTTGTAAGTTCCCGAGCTCACGTGTACGCTCTCGCCTCGCTTCATCCGTTCGCTTCTTGTTGTAGCCCATCGAATACAATCCGCTGTGTCCGACTCCCATTGTACTGTGATATCCGCGCGTATTTTCGCGCACCGTCTCGGACTAGTATTAACTAGTCCTACAATCCTGCCCTTGCTTGAATTTGACATCTGAAACCTTATCGAAAATTTGGTTGTAGTCGAGAGGCGTTATGGAAGTCTGTAGATGCAGGCTCAGCGGACTCGCATCAATACGGATCTCGCTTAAGCGTTTGGTCACTAGGTAAATCCGCTGTTTCAGAAACGCCTTGGAAGCATTAAATGCAATCCTTGCAGAGGTATACGTACTGTCCGGAGGTTTCATTGTGAGACATTTGGGGATCAGATTAGTCTTAAGACATCTCATGTTGAAAACGTGATGGTTTTCCCAATTCGCTTCAAGGCCTGCCAATCGAACGAATTCGCTTGACAGTTTTCGAAAATAGGGTCCGTAATTGGTTTCAAATTCTTGGAAGATACTTGGAACCGATCGAGTAGTCATGAGTTCAGAGAGGTTCGGAAACAATCGGTTTGGTATAGTAGTTTGGTAACGTTTCGCCTTTAACATAAAGGCTTCGTCAGACTAGGTGAATCAGTGTGCAATTGGTGTGGGATTTTATAGCGAACAGGGGCGATAACCGCGTCACCCGAGTCTTGAGCCATGAGTCATTACAGGAACAGTTCGGGATGTCACCTCAGGTGGTTCAATCACAGTGGGAATAGTCCAGGTGTTCCTTTGTGCGTCATGACATTGACGGATAAGCCCATAGTTTTGACAATGGGAGTCGGTTTGCACTTTCCAATCTGATCCACGCATCGATGCTCGTCAAGCTGGTCGGCTTAAGACCGCCCGCCACGCATTGGGGAGTTCTACCCCCTCCATTCTATTCACGCAGTCGTCAGATTTGGCAATCTCCACCGTCTCGGCAATCAACCGCTGATGGGTTGATCGCATACCCCTCCTAATGACCTCTACGTTTTCGAGGTCTATCTGGTGACCCGTGTCTAATGCATGCACAGCTACGGTCGAGTCTCTTACTATTGTCTGGTATTCAAACTCGTTTCTTGGTAATATTGAAATGTGCCTCCTATGCTCCGAAATTCGTGTGCGTAATTCTCTCGCTGTTTGGCCTATGTACACATGTGCACAGTCCTTACATTTAAGTGTATAAACATAGTTAGTCGTCCTAGCCTTGGGAAGCGGGTCCTTCAGGTGTACGAGCGCCGAACGTAACGTTCGACCTCGGTGAAAGATCACCCTTATATTTTCCTTGTTTGATACCCTCCGAATTGCCTCCGAAGTGCCTTCCTTGTACGGAATTCCGACCGTCCCTATCCACTCGGCTGAGGGTCTTGACTGCCAGTGTAGCACTTTGTGCAATTGGCGTTTAACTAGCCGTCTTGGGTAACCACTTTCTAATAGTTTGCCCATTACCACTCTCCGCGCAGCCTTTTTGTCCTCCTCCATTGTGCACAAGGATTGTGCCCTGTAGAAAAGCGCTGAGGCTATCCCAGCGTAAACCTGTTTCGGATGACCCGAGGAGTAGTGGAGTACGCCATCAGATCCGTTGGTTTGCGATATATTGTCGTCTTTAAATTCCCCCAATTCCTGTGAACCAGGCAGTCAAGAAATGGTACTGTGCCGCTACAAGATTCTAACTCAATAGTAAACTGTATTCTCTCATCAATGGAGTTTAATTGATCAAGTAACTCGTCCTTCTTATCCCGTTTAACAAGTACAAAGGTGTCGTCTACATAACGCCACCAAAGTTTGGGTGAGTTAATGTTGTTTGTTAAACGCGTGAATAGAATAGAGGGGATAGAACTCCCCAATGCGTGGCGGGCGGTCTTAAGCCGACCAGCTTGACGAGCATCGATGCGTGGATCAGATTGGAAAGTGCAAACCGACTCCCATTGTCAAAACTATGGGCTTATCCGTCAATGTCATGACGCACAAAGGAACACCTGGACTATTCCCACTGTGATTGAACCACCTGAGGTGACATCCCGAACTGTTCCTGTAATGACTCATGGCTCAAGACTCGGGTGACGCGGTTATCGCCCCTGTTCGCTATAAAATCCCACACCAATTGCACACTGATTCACCTAGTCTGACGAAGCCTTTATGTTAAAGGCGAAACGTTACCAAACTACTATACCAAACCGATTGTTTCCAAACCTCTCTGAACTCATGAGCTCACGTGTTGTTTTGACGTCCGCGTATGCATCACGTGGTTTGTTGGCTGAGCGCAATCTAACCGCTGCACCAATGGTGCAGGTGTTCTGAGTACTGGTGCATTGATTTGCAATTGGTCAAGACGATGGGCACGCATTTGTGCGTGTGCGCCACTTTATATTCAACTTGATGGGCTTGTAGATTGAGTTGAATATTCTTATGGAGGAACATGATCCGCCTAAGGAGATCTTGATTCTGTTATTGATCGACCCAATTGACTCGGAAAGGATAGATTTTCAATGAAGCCGCCTTTTACCCGACGCCGTGCTCGCTTACGCTTTTTCACTAGCGCATACAATTGGCTGTACCGGTTCCACGCAGATGACGGCACGAAACCGCCTAATATCAGCGACTTACAATGTTCATTCAACTCAGGCGGATTATGTTGTTTATTCCTCCCCTACAGTGCGCTCCACACCGGGCGTCAAGTTTTGAAACAAGATGTTTCCTTTTTAATTTCAATGGATAAACCGACAATACAGGCTTTGTTGTGACGTCCTCATTTCATGCCTTCTCAGCAATCGCATAAGTGCAACGAATGGTAAACTCACGAAAGACAAGGTCGAGTGAGATCGATTTGTTGCTGACTGGCGCTTCATTGTGCCGCGGTTTACTCGATGTCCATGGCAGCTGGTGTCGTACGCTCAGCGACCATCCGTCGATCTTGCGTGACCTTGCCCTTCTTGTGCCTCCCATTAATTACACCTATGCGATTGATGGGAATGCGCGTAATGACGAACTCATGCCACACTCCCTTTTCTGAGTATCTTATCTGATTTCAACATTGTTTTTGAACTCCTTGAGTTGGGATAAATGTGGATGTGCGGAAAACTGTGCCAATTACGGGGATAGGTCATAATGTGCAATTATTCTCATCTTGTTACCTGAAGAATACATATGAAGCCGTTATTTTTACATGAACACAGTTCTGGCTACAGTTAAGCGACAGGTTGCAAAGCAGAATCTGGAAGTTGGGCATGTGGGTCTTATGTGTGTGTGTGTGTGTGTGTGTGTGTGTATGTTCTACTTGAGGATTGATGGATAGACGTACTCATCGTTATGGCGCTTCTTGTCGTGGTCCCATGACATATGTTTACTTACCGTGTAGATATGTCGCGTTTTTTATTGAAAATATTGTTCCTGTGGCTCGTTGGAGAACACTGATTCGCTTCCGAACCTCCACACCAACATTTAGAATTTCTCAGTTGGGACCACTTATTTGTTGATAAACACTGTAAATCGCACATGAGAAAGCAACGGTGGATTGCTTCTTCCACTATGTCACGGGACTCGACGAGAGGACAAAAAATTCAAATACACCATTTTTAAAGCACATTACGTTGTGCATCTTTGGCTTTCATAACTTAAAGTAACTTACTGCTACTGTCATCATCAAAGCTAACAGTAATAACGCTTCGCATTTATCGGTAATAAAAATTTTGCGAACGCAGCTGACTCCTCCGTTCATGTTGAGAATACTTGAACTAAAAGACTGGGGTCTGGTCACTTAATTGGCGATTACACTATTGCAGCTCTCTGTGTAATGCTATTGTACGAGTACTACCCTGTAGAATTGTTCGCTCTCACTGACTGTATTGCAATCGCTTCGTTACACAAACCCGTCTGCTAGCTTTAGTGGTTCGTCGTAGCTTCAGAATTACTCTGACATGGTACTTTTGGTAGCGAAAAGGAATTTGCTCTTCGACTAGACTGAGCATGTGAAGAAATTCTGTTCCATTTTCTAGCGCTTATGTTGTACACAGGAAGTATCCGGATGAAGGCCACTGGAACTACATTGGTTCATCGGAAATGGTAATGAATCCCTCTAGTCTTTAACACAAATAACACTGATAAAATTAGCTTTGTATCCTACATTTTACTCAACCGACGAAGATGGTGGCTATCCGATTCCACGAAATCTCAAATTTCTCCGCCTACCCACTTCAATTGACATGAGTAAGTCAGCGCATAAATATAAACTATTATTAAAGAAAAATCAGAGTGAGCGCTTCTGTCAGAAGAAAAATATTACAAAGCATGATGATTGGAGTGCCTCATTGAGGCACTCATGTCAGATCATACTCCATTCTGATGGGATATCTTTTCATTTATCCAGGGAACATGATGTGATCAATTTAAAACGAGTCGCTCCACTCACTGTGGTGGCAGATGGCTCAGTTCATTGTACTTATTGATGCTAAAGGGTGGATTAATTAAGAAAGTGGAACATTAAGAAACGCTAGGGAAGATGAAAAACAGGACAATTTTAGTGAAGTGTGTGTAAAAGCAGAAGGCACGCGGAAGAGACCATAAACACTGGCCCCAAATTGACTACGCAAATCCTCAAGCTGTGTCAGCTTCTTCATAGATCACGAGGCTCACACCTTCTTTAGGTATATTCGGGCGATCAATAAGGCTATCCAGTTGGGAGGCGCCACTGCTTTGAGTAGACTAGGGGCTGTGTAGGTTGGACTGAGTTTGGAAACGGCTATATTGTGCAGCTGGTCTATGAGGGCATCAATTGCATCTGGAGGAGAGGTAGACGTAGGGCTAAGCTCACGCACCAGATCCGCCTCCTGATCATCCTCGGATCCGCTTTCCGATTTTGGTCGGAACAGTGCCAAGCAATTTATTGAAGACAGAACGATGAGGACATCTTCCATTTTCGAACTGGGCTTTGGATCTGATGTACGACAGTATTCAAAGGCAAGTAACACAGCTAACTGTATTGCAGTGTGAAATAGCTCATTTTTCGTCTCCTCTGTGTATGGTTCTGATTTCAATATTTGTTCAAGAGTGGTAACTAGTTGAACCGGATGGAACACCGGGTTCGAATGCGTTTGGGGTTTCACATTTTCGTAGGGTTCACACACTGGAGTCGATACCTGCCGGCAGTCTAACCAGTTTGTTAGCAGGACATCTACTGGTCGATCCGCGAATAGCAACCTTCCTTCTCCACAACAATACTGAAATAAAACGGCAGTCAACCAGGTGAGATAAGTACGAAGAAATTCTATACAAACTCGAGTAAGCCAAGTAAAGAAATCCCGCTAGGCGAGTAATAAGGTGTTATAAGGATAAATGTTATTTCTGCCGGAGCTACTAAAGACGATCCTCGATGGAACTGTGCGTGCTATTAGTCGTATTGTTCGCTGAGCTTGACGGTTTTACCGCAAGCGTTTGGTCAGTAACCGAGGTCACTGTGGTGTAGAGATGCGAAATGTTAGTTTGTGTCATATTATATGATAGATTTGTTGGTCTTCTGGATGGACGAGCGAAAATTTTTCCATTGGCGGAGGCGGTGTAAAGTTACACCGTTGATGATCCAGTTGTTGACTCGCTTTGGCGCCGCCAATAACTAAGATATGCTTAGCGACAATTGCGTGTTACCATGTAATATCCACCTTAGAGGCGGACTGCGTTCTGGCTTTTACCATGAAGTCCCTTTTTGCACGGCCTTACAGTCACATTCTCTTCTTGGGGAGCTTTGACCTACACACTATGTTGGCCACAGCTCCCCTCCTTAGGTAATCTAAGGCTGATTACGGTGTTCAGAACGGGATAAAAGCAAACCAGTAGAGACCTCTTGTATACCATTGAGCAGCTTATGATGGACTAGTAACAGTAAGTGGCCCCTCTGAGACGCAGCAAGCGTGTAACATTACCGTTCCCCCTACCTTTCTTACGCAGAAAACTAACCAAAACATTGAGGAAGTCCGTACCGTAGCACACTACAGCATTCTATACGACTTCATCAAAATCTCCGATTGGTCGTTCCCAGCTGAGTAGCCCCCAGATGTCTCTTGGATGGAATTCGTCAGCCATTTCATCACATTAGCTACAAACACGGCTTGGGTCAATATCCCGTCTCGGAAACAGCAGGTTCCTATATCAATAGTAAGATGGGGAAATGCGTGACTGCGAGATACATTTTGACCAGCCTACAAAATCATTTCAGGCTAGAAAGCCCACACTACCGAGCGAAACTTGTGTCAAACTGGTTAGCAAATTGAAGTACTAAGAAGATCTGGCGAGGAAGCCTCATTCCAACATATCATCAGACCCCACAACAGGTTGCGGGAGGTCAGTTATTTAAACATCCCATTCCGGTAAGCATAGACTGCACAAAACGCGAAAAAACTTTCACCAATAACAATTCGCGTCTGTTCCAGAGCGTACCACATTCACATCATTCGCACGCAGTTCACACCAACAGGACCGAGTCACATCGTCCAGGCTACTGTTGTGTTGAAGAGACTAATGCCAGACGATGTACGCCTAAAAGCATTTAGTGTGTCAACCATGAGATTGGCTGAATCACTGTTCTAACTTTTAACCGAGGTCTCGACGAAATGCAGACTCCTTTTATGTAAAGTTTGGAACACTCATGTTTAGAAAGAAAGCAATAATGCTAAACCAGCGAACTACCCCCGACAACTCTGATTTTTATGGCCATGAACGCAATTATTGTAGGTGT